GTTAGGCCCTTCTTCTGCAGGACAGGACCCCTTGACCTTTAGCCGTTCTGCAGCGGGTCGTGAGAGCCCCTCCCAGCCCCCTGCCCGGGTCAGAGGTCGGGGAAAGCAGCCTCAGCCCCCCAGGCTGCCTGGCCCGAGGTGACGCTGGCTGCTGCTTGCGGCTGGTTGTGTGCGGGTCAGAGCAGCTCCTACCTGGCAGGACAGGCCCCTTCTGCTCCTGGTTGGGCGACCAGCCGTGCCCTCCCAGCTCTGTCAGACGGGGTGTGGGGGGGGGGGGCGTCTGCGTCCAAACTAGGTCTCCAGACCGCGGCGTGGATGCAGGGAGCACTCGAGGCTCCCTGCCCTGTGCGACCCAAGGGGCAGGATTGGTGCCGACGAGGGGAAGTCGGAGGGAGGTAACCCCTTCTTCCCCGTTGGAGCCCTGAGCTCCCTCAGGAGACGGTGGGCGCCCGAAGGCACTTCCCAAGGCCCCTCTCTTCCCTGGACTCTCTGACACCAGTGGGTGCCCGAGACATCCCTGCCAGCTTCCCTCCTCTGGCGGGCCCTAGGCCCAGGGAACAGGATGTCCTGATGGCTTTGGGCATCTCCGTGGCTTGGGTGTGGGCAGAGCTGCCTTTGGAGTGATTCACTGCTCGGGGAGACTGAGGGCAGGTCAGAGTGCTGGCCAGCCGCGGGGGCGCGGTGGCTGGAGATGGCGGGATGCAAAGGGGACGCAAAATAGCCCGGAGGCCTGGGCACGGGCTGCCTGCTCAGGACGGCTGCCCGGGACTCTGCGGATGAGGCCGTCTTGTCAGATTTGGACGCAGACCCATTTCTTGCTCCTGATGGGATGGGCGCGTGGAACAGATCCGGGGGGCGGTGGCTTCTGAGCTCCACTCGGAAGCCTTGGGCTGGGTGAAATGGCAGGAAGGACGCTCCGGGCAGAGGGTCAGGGCGAGCAGAGGCCCAGTGGGAGGAAAGCGCGTGTGCCTGGGATCCGTCGGGGTGGCCGGAGCAGTGTGGGCTCAGCTGCAGGAGGGGCCTGGGGAGGGGCGGAAAGAGCAGCCGCTGTCAGCCCTGCCTGCGTGGCCCGGTGCTTCTTCCCCAGAAAGGTGTGTTCCAGCTCTCCGGCGAGGACTACTTCATTGAGCCCCTGGACGGTGGCCCGGCCCGGCCCGGCCACGCCCAGCCCCACGTGGTGTACAAGCGCCAGGCCCCCGGGAGGCGGGCAGAGCGGGGTGACGCCAGCACTCCGGGCACCTGCGGGGTGCAAGGTACGCTCCTCTGATGCCAGTTCTGGAGCCGGGGATGGGCCTGGGGATATGAAAGGCCCTTTCCAGAAGCCTCTTTCGACATCCCCATGCTCAGCTCCCTTGTCCCAGAGGGATACAGAAAGACAGACTGACAGACACATCACCAGAGCCGGTGCCCTTAAATGTGCCACAAGCCTGTGTCCTCTGCCTGCCACGCGCGCCCAGACCTCCTCACCTGCCTCCCCCACTGCAGGGTTCCAGCTCTGCTCTGCCCCACCTTGGCCTGTGGCGCCTCTGCTACCCGCTCTTCCTTGAGTGCCCAGCCTGGCACAGCCATGCCCAGCCTGGCAGGGCCGTTGGCCAGGACCCCCTCCCCTCCCCAGCCTGCTCCCACCCAGGTAACTGGCCTCTGTGGCCGGGAGCTGGAGCCAGGTGCCCAGCGCTGCCTCTGCGGAGCGGCCATCGTGCCGGCCCGTCCGGCCTGAGGAGCTGCCGCCAAGGGCTGCCGGGTGGGGGGCTGCCAGGCCGGCACTCCCGCCTCAAGCTGCCGCAGCCCAGGGACTCTGCTTGCTGGAGCAGATGCCCGCGGAGGCGTGCTTCTTGGCCTCAGTTTCCAGCTTCACAGACGCGCTTCCTCTTCCGACCTGAGGCCGGCCTGGAGCAGAGGGCAAGATCCGGGCTGGACCTTGGCCAGCCTCCGGGCCGGGGATCGGACTGTGGGGCCTGCCTATGCTGGGCTGCACCAGCCCCAGTCGGGGGAACGACGCGGGGAGACGGGCCGTGTCCTGACGCGGACGTGGCACTTCGCTGTGTTTACAGCCTCCATTTCATTTGCCCCCGGGTCACCCTGGGAGTCAGATCAGCTTATTCCTGTTTACAGTTAGGCAATCCCAGGATCAGAGAAGAAAATCCAGGCGAGGGCCACGCGTCCGGGGCGGCCCCGGAGGGGAATCCAGGCTCCTGGCCTCCGACCCGGTGCAGTTCCTCCCGCCCCAGAGGGAGCGCGCCGTGGCGTGGTCCACTGGTACTGACCCCTCCTGCCCGGGGCCCACAGCGTCCCTGGAGCCGGAGTCTCGCCGGGAGCGTTGGGAGCAGCGGCAGCAGTGGCGGCGGCAGCGGTCGAGGCGGCTACACCAGCGCTCGGTCAGCAAAGAGAAGTGGGTGGAGACCCTGGTGGTAGCTGACGCCAAGATGGTGGAGTACCACGGGCAGCCACACGTGGAGCGCTACGTGCTGACCATCATGAACATGGTGAGGCTGCGGCCGGCGGCCGGCCACGGGCGGGTGGCGGGGGATGGCAGGGGAGGGTGATGGGGGGCACGGCGGGTGGGTGCAGGGCAGGAAGGCTGTTAGGCTGGACCCCAGACCCGGGCCCACACCCCAAGCAGGAAGGAGGGTCTCCAAGCTTCTGAGTCCAGGAAGGGGTAGGGGCCGGGCTGGGGTTTCTAGGAGAGCCTGGGCAGAGGGCCGCTGTGGGGACGGCACAGGGCGTCGTGCCACCCCGCTGGCTCAGCCGGTGTTTGGAGGGGGAGGAGGAGGGGAGCCCGAGGCAGCCGGGACCCTGTGCCTGCCTAGGGAGCTCATAGCTAGTTGGTCCATTCGTGCTACCCTGAACAAACAGCCTCCTCCTTTGCGTCAGAAGCTGCGCTAGATGCTCAAGACACAGACGCCCAGCCAGACAGCCCCTGTCTGAGACATCAGCGCACGTCAGCGTCGGCAGGGTCTGTGTGGCCTGCAGTCCGCTAGCCCTGACCTAGACAAGCCACTCTCCCGTCTGAGCCTCAGCCTGCTCGTTTGGGATCCAGGCATGGCGGCGGTACCCTGGGAGGTTGGCAACCTGCGCTTGACCCCCCGTGACCGTTGAGATAGCAGAGGCTTCAGAGGGTGAACGACTTGCCCAGCTCACACGAGGCAGGGCAGAGCCGATGGGAGCCCGGGGCCCGTGTCCCAGCTGGGGCGCCGCGCCCCACTGGAGCTGCTGCAGAGCCAGCTCCCTGCTCCTGCCCTGGGGGTGCAGGTGGGGGCCGCAGGCTGCCAGACTACGTCCTGTCCCGCAGCTCCCTGGGCCAAGAGCTCTGTGCCCCTGGCGTTCCCAGCAGGCCGCCTGCTGGGCAGGCCACCACCCACCGTCTGTCTCCTGGGCTGGGGGTTGGGGCAGGGTGAGGGCGTGTGTTCTGCGGCGGGATGGCGTCTGAGGGTGTCCTGTGTGCTGCTTGTCCCCAGGCCAGCACCTCACCTCCGCAGCCCTGGGCTAGTGCTCCCTGACTTTGCCACCCGCACTGGCTCCCTGCTCCATGCGGAATAGAAATCACAGCCTCCTGCCTGGTATTCGAGGCCTTGAAGGTCCAGCTCAAGCCTCTCTGTTCAGCCTCGGCTGCCCAGGGAGCGGAACTGCTTGCGGCCGGGCTTAGGGGGGCGATCGCTGGGCCGCAGGCCCTGAGGTTCTCTCCTTCCCAGTCTCAGCGCCGGTGCTGACTGGCTCACTGCACCTCACTGTCCTTGACTGTCCCTGTGGTCAGGTCCTGGGCAGAGTAAGACCCCCCCAGCCCCACAGGCCCCCCACGACTGGCCCTGACGGGGCTCAGGCATTTTGCTCCAGGGCCTGGCCCCTCCCTGCATCCTTGTCCAGGCCCCTGTTCACGCTGCAAGCCTCATCCTAGGGGAGGGCAGGCCTGGCTCTCACGTCAGCAGCCCCGATAACACCGGGCTTTCCTGAGCCGGCAAGTCTGGCTCGACCAGGACAGAGTGGAGACGTCTGGCCTCCCGGTGCAGACACCGTGGGGAGGTGCAGGCACAGGGATCCCATGAGCCAGCCCGACTTGAGGCCCTGGTGGGTTAGCGCTGGTGCCCGGCGAATACCTAGCGCTTGTCCAGTGCTCCACACCGACCACCTCAGCCAAGCCTCATCTCCACTTTAGAGCAGAGGGAACAAAGATTCAGAGAGGCCAAGCCACTTGCTTAAGGTCACACAGCTAGTAAGTGGCAGAGCTGAGACTGGAGCTCGGGTCTCTCTGCCTCCTCCATGTCCCTCAGCCGTCCCCAAGAGGAGCAGCGGTGGCCGTGGTGGCCGGGGTGGGGGGAGGGGCAGAGGATGGGAGAGCAGGGCAGTGGGAGCGGGGAGAAGTTACCCCTTTTCCCTCCGGAGCAGATGTTCTCTCACTTGCTTAGCGGCCGCTCTGCACCTGGGCTGAGGCGGTGGGTGTGAGGGAACGCGGCCCTGCACTTGGGAAGCCGTCTCATTGTAGCGTTTCTCAAAGAACATTCCAGGGAGTCCTTGTTCCAAAGGATGCTCACAGAGTCCCGCGGAAAAAGAAGCTGCTGTTGAGTGAGTTCAGCCACACAAGGTTTAAAAAGTAAAAGAAGCTTTTTTGCTACAGGACTTCTCAGAGCCTTCAAAGCTAATGTGCATTGAGAATCTCCAAGCAGATAGGTAGCATTTTCCAAATTTCGAAAGCCGTGAAACGTGGGTTCTGATCCCAGCGCTACCCTTTTCCTGAGTCTCAGTGGCTTCATCTGTAAAATGAAGACAATCTTGCCTGCCTTTAAGTAAGGAGATTGAGTGAGATAGTGCTTTGACGCTCCCAGCACAGGGACTGGCCCTGCTGGGCTGGACCAGTGTTTGCTGCTGCTGTTGAGACGGCTGCGGCCGCACCTGACCTCCTGCCCCACCGCCGCCTTCAGGACAGTCTCACCCTGTCCCAGGGCCTCCTGCGGCCCCCAGTTGTCTGACCCGGATCCGAGTCCTGGAGCGCAGGCGGGTCTGTCCCCAGCATAGCAAGGCAGGTCTCGCTCTACCCCAGTTTTGCCCCCAAGTTTGCGCTTCCTTCCTGAGGTCACAGGCCCGTTTTGAGCAGCCCCTGCTACTGTCAGCTCACTGGCGGCTTGCGGTCACCTGTGACCTCGAGATCTCGGCTTCACAAAGACTGCCCGCCCCTGGCTTGCTCTCCAAGCCTGCACCAGCGCAGGGCTCAACTTCCGTAGGTGGCGTCTGTCGAGTTAACACACCCACACCGATCTTAGGCCGTTAACAAATGCCCCTTGGTTGAGTTCATCAGCTAGTTAAGACGCTGCCTCCGTGTTTCTTGGAGGGCAGCAAGAAGGCTGTGCACGTGGAGGGTGGGCTCGGTGGTGCCCTCAGCCCTGACTCGGGGTGGGCGAGGGTCGGGCGTCGGGCAGGTCTCAGCAGACCCTCCAGGGCCTCGACTCCTCGGGGGCCTTGGCTGGGCACTGATGCCAAGTTCACCCGTCTGTGGCCCAGCAAAGACTTGCTCTTTTGATCCGACTTTTCCCACTTTCCACCGTGTCTTTTAAATGAGATAATGCGTTGCAAATACTGGGCAAGTAAGTGCCCACGACTCGTCCATTCATCCAACACGTGTTTCTGGAGTGCCGTCCTGTGCCAGGAACTAGACAGTCCCCGGGGCTTCCAGAGGGCGTCCACACAGACACGGCCCCCGTCCTCACTGAGCTGCGTCCGGCAGGGAGATGGACGTTAGCGGAAGCGTCACCGTGGCGGCCGTGAAGGTGCCGCGGAGGGAAGTGCGAGGAAGGACCCATGCGTGGTGCTCCGCAGTGTGGGGCGGAGCAGAGGGGACTCTGCGAGGCTGGAGAGCTGGCGGGCGCTGGCGGGAGCCTAGGGCATAACTTGGGAAGACGAGGGCAAAGAGGTTCCCGGCCGGGAGCACAGCGCCCGGCGGTAGGAAGAATCGCGGGATTCTGCAAGAAGGACAGAGTGGCTGGAGCCGGGCGCGAGGAGGTGTGGAGGGCGAGGGGGGCCGGAGAAGAAGGCAGGAGCCGGACCAGAGGGGCTGTTGGGCAGGCCGGGACGTTTGTCCTTCCCCCGTGGACAGGGGAGAGCCGCTGCTCCTTCGAGCAAAGGCGGCTTGTCGTTGGGTCTGCACCTCAAAGGCACATGGCTGAACCGCGAGGCCGCAGGTGGCCGGAGAAGCCGCCGAGTGTGGGGACCCTCGGAGGAGACCTCGACAGCTGGCCGGACAAGAGGCCGCGTGGGTCGGACTGGGCAGTGGTGTAGGAGATGGAGGAGAGGGGGGTCCGGTCGTCTGTGCAGGGAAGGGGCTCTGAGCAGGGAGGTGACGGTGGCCACGTGGCGTCTCTGTGCACCTTCGTGCGTCTGATCTGGCTCTGAAAGTGCGGCCCGTCCCCATCGCCAGGGGCTTCGTGCCCTCTTGAGAGTGTTCGCTTTGTCCTGTCTGAGCATTATTTTTCCCGATGCGGTTCTGGAAGCCACCTCACAGCCGGTCTGTCCTGCCGCCTCTGCCCTCTGGGAACCTGACAGCTGCCCGCAGCCCTGGGCTGGCCTCTGTTTCCTTCTGGGGGAGTGTTAAGGAGACGGCAGCTCTCCCCATGCGTTCCCCTGCCCCTCGGCCACCTTCCTCTCTGCCGGGCTCAGCCCCCGACAGATGCGCACACCTGCCCCTTGGCCGCGTGGCTGTCAGCCCCAGGGAGGGCGGGGGCAGCAGTGGGGAGACTCCAGTGCTGGGTGCCGGCCCCACCAGGCTCCAGGCTCTACCTGGGTCTCGCGCCTCACTCCTGGGACCCTGGTCCTGGCACCGCCCGGGCAAGAGGGAGCTGCCAGGCTGACCCACCCAGGGCACTGAGCTGGGCCGAGAAGCCAGCACGGGGAGGGCTGAGCTGCCGTTGGCTGTGCTGGGTGGGGGGTTGGTGCTCGGAAGCAGGTGCCAGCCCGGCGCTCGGGTGCTCAGGATGGCCTGGGGCTGGGAGGGGCCTGGGACGCTTCGTTGCCCCAGGTCCTGCCGCTGCTGGGTTGGGGCAGCGTGCGTGCAGGTGTGGGGACACCACGCGTGGTGAGCGTGCAGCCGTGTGCACCTGTGTCGACACCCTTGCGTGTGAACGTGGGTGTGTGTTCCCCAGGTGGGCTCGGGCTGGGCTTTGGCCGCCCACATCCTACGTCCTGGTCACAGCCTGACCCCGTCTCTCGGGCAGGTGGCCGGCCTGTTCCACGATCCCAGCATTGGGAACCCCATCCACATCACCATCGTGCGCCTGGTCCTGCTGGAGGACGAGGAGGTGAGAGGTCACGTGGCTCCGTGCTGCCCCCGGCAACAGGCGCCTGCTGCCGGGGCCTCCTGCCCATTGGCCGGAGGCACAGCGATGGCCTCCTGGGCCTGGACTGTGCCTTCTGTACCCCCGGTCCCTGCCTGCCTCTGTCCCCTGCCTTTGCGTGGGGAGGAGTGGGGCCTGCCCCTCTCGGAGCTCAGGGGAGGCGTGAGCGCGGCTTTCTCCGCCCGCAGGAGGACCTGAAGATCACGCACCACGCGGACAACACCCTGCGGAGCTTCTGCAAGTGGCAGAAAAGCATCAACATGAAGGGGGACGCCCACCCCCTGCACCACGACACGGCCGTGCTGCTCACCAGGTGCCGCCGTGGGGGGGCCGCTCCGGGGAGAAGCTCTGGGAGGGGACACGGAGAGCTCTGCTCCCCAGGAGAGTTTGCGCACCTTTGGTACGACGCCCTGCATCCCATCGGCACTCGGGGAGGGGCGTCTTTTTTTTTGAGACAGAGTCTCCCTCTGTTGCCCGAGCTAGAGTGCCGTGGCATCAGTCTAGCTCACAGCAACCTCAGACTCCTGGGCTCAAGCGATCCTCCTGCCTCAGCCTCCCGAGTAGCTGGGACTACAGGCATGTGCCACCATGCCCGGCTAATTTTTTCTACATATTTTTAGTTGTCCGATTAATTTCTTTCTATTTTTAGTAGAGACGGGATCTCGCTCTTGCTCAGGCTGGTTTCGAACTCCTGAGCTCAAACTATCCGCCACTTCGGCCTTCCAGAGAGCTAGGATTACAGGCGTGAGCCACCGCGCCCGGCCGGGGTGTCTTTTTATTTTGAAATAATTGTGGCTTCTCACACAGTTGTCAGAAATAATCCAGGGGCTCCGTACACCTTCCCCCCACTCCTCCCATGGTGACATCTTGCGTGACCACAGCAGTGTCCCCGCCAGGACGCTGGTGTCGATGCCATCACAGACGTGCTCAGATTTTAGCAGCTGCCCCTGCACGCGTGTGCACACGCTCGGTTCCGTGCAAGTCTGTCACCTGTAGGTCCACACGTCCACGCCGTGGTCTGGATGCAGAGCGGCGGCAGTAGAGGGACATCTGTGCTGCCTGTGACAGCTGCAGCCACCCCCCTCCCCCATCTCTGCAGCCACACGTCTGTTTGTCCACGGGCCGTGGTTTGAACTCCAGGTGGAGTCGGTTTCCGCTGCTGGGCCCCAGCGGTGCTGTCGGGGCGGCAGCCAGCCCTGTTCTGTGCACACGCCTGTAACCAACACTATTCTGTGCACATGCCTGCTTCCCAGGGCCCACGTAGGGGTCCCGTGTCTTGTGTGCCTCCAGATGCGGCGTGCTGGCCTGGCGTCAGGGAGCGCAGGAGGTGATGTCCTTCTCACGCGGGGCCAGCGGGGCCTTCTCTGGCCTCCCCCGTGGGCCCGGTGCGGGGCCAGGTCAGCCTGAAGGCCCCGTCTCTCCGCCTGTGCAGGAAGGACCTGTGCGTGGCCATGAACCGGCCCTGCGAGACCCTGGGCCTGTCGCACGTGGCGGGCATGTGCCAGCCCCACCGCAGCTGCAGCGTCAGCGAGGACACGGGCCTGCCGCTGGCCTTCACCGTGGCCCACGAGCTCGGGCACAGGTACCGGCCGCCCTCAGCACTGGGCGCACGGGGCAGCCCGCCCACGGGTCGCGGAATCCGGGGAAAGGAGGCCGGGGAGGGGGTCCCGACTCGGTCTGGCCACACGCTGTCTGCTCGGTCCCCACCCCACGCAGGCCTGCCTGGGCGTCTCTGGGGCTGGCCAGGCGTGGAGGGGCAGGATGGGCCAGAAGGTCACGGCACGTCTCTGGCTGTTTCTCCCCATCGCCCTTGGTGCCCATGTTTTCACTCTCGGTCCCTACCTGATCCCTATTCCTGCTTGCTCTGTGACCCGGGGCCAGTGCCCTGTCCTCTCTGGGCCTCTGTACTTCCTGTAGATCGAGGAGGTTGGATTCGGTGACGTCCGAAGCTCCCGCCCTCTGACTCTGCTGCCCGAGCTCTCGTGCTGGGCACGGCCCATGCCCTCAGCCACCCGTGCCCAGGCTGTGTAGCTGGCACGTGGCAGCACCTTGGGTTGCCCGGCAAGCCAGCGAGAGCAGGCCCGCAGAGCTCTGCTGCTCAGAGGTGTTAGGCTCCTCCATTCAGATGTCTGGGTCCCCCGGGTGGTGGCCGGACCTGCAGGGCCTTGAAGCTGCTTGTGGCAGTAGAAAAGTTTGCTTTGCCGCAGTTCTGCCCTTTCTGGCTGTGTTACCCCTGCTAGTTCCTTAGACTCTCTGAGCCTCTCTGGGGATAAAAGCGAAGCCTGAGATAGTGTTTCTGAAAGCGCTTAGCATGGTGCCTGGAACATGCTAGAATTTTTCCGGTGTCCTTCCCGAGGATGATCTCTTGAGTCTTCTCTGTGAGGCCCCAGTTCAGACCCCTCAACTCCAGTGCGCAGCCTGGGGATGAGGACCAGGGCGTGGGGCCGCCTGTCGGACTGTCCTCCAGCCAGTGAGGCTGCAGGGCCGTGCTGGGCCCTGCTCCTGCCGCCTTCCCCTTGCCGGCCAGCCCCGGGCGGAGCAGGGCTGCGCGGGGTCCCTGGCCCTCGTTCTGGCTCAGCTGGTGCCCCTGGAAGAGCAGCCCTGGGGTACTCGCTGCCATCCCCACGTTTTCCGTTAAGGAAACTGAGGCCCAGAGAGGGAGCACGACTTTCTCAAGGCCACAGCCGTCGGGTGGCAGAGCCAGCTCTGGGACCTGAGCCTGGCACCCGTGGGTCTCTGGGGGAGGGGCAGGCTGAGGCCTTCCGCGCTCACCCGCCCCTGGGGCCTGTGCTCTCACGCAGTTTTGGCATTCAGCATGACGGCAGCGGCAATGAGTGTGAGCCCGTTGGGAAACGGCCTTTCGTCATGTCTCCACAGCTCCTGTACGACGCCGCGCCCCTCACCTGGTCCCGCTGCAGCCGCGAGTACATCACCAGGTTCCTCGAGTAAGTCCCATCTGGCCCTGGGCGCCGGGCCTGTCCGTGCGGTCGAGGACGCAGGGAGACGCGGTGTCGCCGCAGTGCCGGGTGGGGGAGGCCTGCGGAAGATGTGGGGCTGGGGTCCCCCGAGTCCTGCTGGGGGACACCTGAGCTCAGTCCGGGAGGATGAGCAGGAGTCGCAGGTGTGTGGGGGGGAGGAGACAGGCGTTCCTGCTGGAGGAAGGCCGAGCAGAGGCCTGGGGCATGTGGGGACGGGGTAGTTCTCAGGGAACGGCGGGAGGTGCCCAGGCCGCGTAGGCAGCGAAGCCAGAGGAGGCGCAGGCCGGCCGCGTGGTCCAGTGAGCAGCAGGGAAACAAAGTCGCTAAAGGAACTGAACTATAAAGCTTTTTCCTTTCTTTTCATGTTTTCTTAATTTGTTGTGGTGTTTTTTACTTGCTATTTAATGCTGTTCTACGTGAGAAAATTATTCTCACGCCTGTAATCCCAGCACTCTGGGAGGCCGAGGCGGGAGGACTGCTCGAGGCCAGGAGTTTGAGACCAGCCTGAGCAAGAGCGAGACCCCGTCTCTACTCAACATAGAAAGAAATTATCTGGACAACTAAAAACATAGAAAAAATGAGCTGGGCATGGTGGCGCATGCCTGTAGTCCCAGCTATTTGGGAGGCTGAGGCAGGAGGATCACTTGAGCCCGGGAATCGGAGCCTGCGGTGGGCTGTGATTGCGCCATTGCACTCCAGCCTGGGCAACAGAGCAAGACTCTGTCTCAGACAAAACAAAGCAAAAACAACCGCACTGGCTTCGTCTCACTCCTTGACACGTGTACATTCTGCCGACGCCGTCTCTCTCCAGCTTACTGATGGGGAAGGACAGACGGAGAGGGACTGGAGACACGGGGTGCCCTCTCCCCACTCCTGTCCCACCACAATCCGTGTCGGGGTTGCTCCTGCAGGGAGGGAACATGGACAACAGGGGGCGATAGGGCTCCCTGGCTGCTGCCTTCTTTCCGCCTTTGAACCAAGTTCTGTTCGAGTGGAGAGTGTGGCCTCTGGGTCTGGCGCGGCCGCGACCCTCACGCAGGAGCAGACACGACAGCCTAACTTCCTGCGTTGAGTCTCACGCTGTAGGCTCTGCCTGGGGGGCCAACTGAGCGCTAGACGCAGATGAGGTGGCGAGGAATGGTGGACACGGACACCGCATGTGTCGCTTACGCACACGCGTGTCCCGCCAGACCTCGCTTCCAAAGCACGAGGCCAAAGATACCAGGAATTCAAGGCGGCGACCGCAGGGCGTGAAATCCCCTCCCCCGCCCTCTCCGCCCTCCGCTGCTGTTCTCCTGGCGGCCACTGTTAACCTTAACTCTTGTAGCTTTTTCTGAATATTTACTTTCCTGTTTCCAAAAAGCGTTCCTGGACTGTTACTTCTTGTTTCGGTTGAGGTATCACCCGGAAGGTTGGGATTCAGCGCTCGCGTCACGTCCTGCACAAATGTTTGCTTCTCCCCATCCCAGGAAAGTGTTAACACATTTCGATTAACTGCGTTGTCTTCGTTATTATGATCGTGTAAATCTTTACTGACGAGCCAGATGCTGTAACAAGAGGACGTCTCTTTTTAAGAACGAGTCTATGTACTTGGTTTTCTTTGCCTCTGAGTCTCCCGTATCCCCTGACAGCTCTGTAAAAGGTCTCTTCACCCAGTTTTCCAGAAGGTCATCTCGGCCAGGTCATCCAACAGCTCCCTCTTTCCTGGAGCTCACCCCCCTCCCTGTCCTCCATGTTATACCGGACGCTTCCGACGCCCGCCCTGAGGTGGTCACGCGGGTTCTTGCTGTTTCCTGGAGCCCATGCAACTGTTTTGGGGAGGGTACCTTTTGGTTTTTTATTTGTTTCGGTGGAGCGCGCCCTCAGGTAGGTTTCTGAGAAAGAATGCGGAGAGGTAGATGGTTCGCTTGTCTGAAAGCTCTTTACTCTTTCCTCACGTCTGACTGATGGCTCGATTTGATGTCATATTCTAGGTTAGAAGTCATTTTCCCTCAGAATGTCGAAGGAGTATTTCCGACGTCTCCTAGTTTCCAACACTGCTATGGAGACGTCCTGCACCGTTCAGATTCCCAAGCCTGCGAATGTGGCCTTTTAAAAAATCTAGAAGTTTTTAGGATTCTCTCCCTTCCTTCCTTCCTTCCTTTCTGTGATTTTAAATTTCGCAATTATGTGCCTTGGTCTATTTTAATTTGGGGGGCCACTCGTTTGACCCTTTTAATCTAGAAACTCATGTCCTTCAGTTCTTAGAAATGTTCTTGTGTTATTTATTTGGTAACTTTCTATTTTCTTTTTCTGGAACCCTTAATAGTCAAGCTGTTCTCTCATTTTCCTATTTTACTCTTTTTCATCTATTGTCTGGGAGGCATCTAATTTATCTTTACAACCCTCCTATTAATTTTTTTTTTTATTTTTTACTTTTTTTTTTTTTTTTTTTTTGAGACCGAATCTCACTGTGTTGCCCGGGCTAGAGTGAGTCCCGTGGCGTCAGCCTAGCTCACAGCAACCTCACACTCCTGGGCTCAAGCGATCCTCCTGCCTCAGCCTCCCGAGTAGCTGGGACTACAGGCATGCGCCACCATGCCCGGCTAATTTTTTCTATATATTTTTAGTTATCCAATTAATTTCTTTCTAATTTTAGTAGAGACGGGGTCTCGCTCTTGCTCAGGCTGGTTTCGAACTCCTGAGCTCAAACAATCCGCCCGCCTCGGCCTCCCAGAGAGCTAGGATTACAGGCGTGAGCCACTGCACCTGGCCTTTATTTTTACTTTTAATTTCTTTAACTGTCTTATTCACTAAATGCAAGTTGAGTATCCCAGATGCAACGTGCTTGGGCCCAGAAGTGTTTCAGATTTTGGACTTTTTTGGATTTTCGAATATTTGCGTTATAGGTTCAATATACCAAATCCGAAAATCCAAAATCTGAAATGCTTCGATGGGCATTTCCTTTCAGCACCGCGCTGGCGCTCAGGAAGTTTAGTTTTTGGATTTTCAGATCTGAGATGGTCGACCTGTACTCCTTTTCATCGTCCTGGTCTTGTTTCGCTGTACGGTATTTTATCTTTCTGAGGCTACCACTTATATGGGTTTTATCTTTTTCTTCCGCTCCCTGAAACGTTTTTCTTTCCTTTGGGATATTTTCTAAAAATCTTCCTTTCGTGTTAAAGGTTTCCTTAAAACGTCTTGGCTGTGTTTTTCCTATGGGAAGGAGACACAGAGAGGCCGGCTGGGAGGTCTGCGGACTTGGGCAGGACGTTTGCTGGGATAGGGCTGTTGGGAGATCCCAAACGTCAGTATCTGAGGTCGTTTTCTGAGTGACTCGGTTTCCCCAGAGAGGAATCCTCTACTCTTTTCCTGGGACAGCGTCAGTCTGGCTGCAGCACTTGGGCATCCTGATGGGGCAGGGGCTTGACGGGTATCTCAGCCTTCCCTGTGGAGACCTGTGCTTGTCCCTCTTTCTCTGTAGGCCCCTCCGCCTCAGGCCATCGTCGGTGTCCGGTGTTCCCAGGCCAGACCCTCCTGGGTCACCCTCTCTGGAGAGTGACCCTTGGCCCGCACTGGGTCGGAAGGGGGCCGTTGCCTCTCAGGGCTGGGGAGGGGTCTAGGGTCTGCTCGGTTCTCACAGACTTCCACCAGCCTCTGTCTTCAGCCCGCTGGCCCCCGGCCCCTAGGGCCTCCTGGGACAGTAATTCCTGGGCCTGTCCACGGTTCTGCTCTGGTGGTCCCTCCCTGCAGGCACGTGGCCGTCTCCTGCTTTCCAGCCTCCAGAATTTTGCCGACATCTTCTGTTTGCCGTAATTGCTTCTCCCTTAGCCTTTGCCTTGTGGGTTTGTGCCTTGTTTGTTCCTCACTGTCGTCGTGGTGGGTTTTGGGAGGGAGCAGAGATAAATCCGTTCGCCATGTTTTCTAGAAGCCCACGCGCCGCGGGGTGTGAGCAGGGACGGGACCAGGTCCACTGGGGACACAGAGCAAGGACGAGGCCTCCAGTGGGAGAGGGTGACGGGGTGGGAGGGGGCTTGGAAGCAGAGAAGAGTTTCGCTTGGTGGCTGGGAACTGGGCTCGGGCCCCAGCTTCTCCCCATCATCCCGTCAGCCTCACAGATGGGGAGGGTGATGTGACCGCCTTATGATCTGATACGAGATTAAATGAGAAATCGCGGGAGGGTCAGCGCAGTGCCTGCCGCACGGTGCGGTTTTGGTGCACGGTACCTGTTATTGTTTGCACGCTACCGCGTGAGGTGTGTACGGACTAGAACCGGGGAAGTGGCCTGAGGGTGGAGAGGAGGGTGTGTCTCCTCCCCCAGAGAGGGGCGGAGGCTCGGGGAGTGGCTGGAAAATCAGCATCGTGGCCACCCCCAGGGGCTGTTCCCAGCTGCCCCCACTCAGGGTGCCACCCAGCGCCCTGGCTCCGGGACAGACGGACAGATGAGTCTCTGTCCTCGTCGGCTGCTGGAATGTGTGAGGGCCTTGGCTCGGGGCCTGGGCGAGGGTGGAGGGCAGGCTGAGAGCCCAGCGTGGGGCCTCCCAGAGCCTTGGCACAAGGAAGAGCCAGACGGAGGCAGAAACAAGAGATTTGTGCCCCACCGGTCGAGGGGCGCGCGGGAGGGAGGGCGACTTCTCCCCAAGGTCGTGCCGTGTCCGCCTCTCCATCCTGGGGGTCGGGCAGCAGGGTGACCCCAGGGCCCGGGAGCAGGTGCAAGGCAGGGTGTGGACAGTGGCGCCAGCCTGTCTCCCTGCCCCCCGCGCCTTTGCTGGGGGTGGGACAGGACAGAGAGGACAGGCCCCGCAAAGCAGGCTGGGGACAGAATGCGTGAGAGTCACAGAAGGTGCCAAATGTGGGGGTCGGCAGCGTTTCTGGGCTTAGGGGAGTCTCAGGCAGCCGCAGACCCCTCGACACCTCACTGGACTCGACACCCCCAGCTCCCTGCAAACAGGCCTGGACAGGGCCGAGTGCAAACTCTTGGCCGTGCTGTGTCCACGGCTCTGTGGGGGTGTGATGGGGAGGGACAGATGTGATGCCTGTCCCCAAGGCCCTCGGCACCGGGGGGGACAGACGTGTGACAGTCTGGGGCAGTGAGCAGACAGCCCTTGCGGGAGGGCCGTGGAGCGGGCACCCACCTCTCCTGGGGGCGGGACAGTGTCTCGGAGAGGGAGCGTCGGAGCTGCCTCCAGAGGCCCGGGAGCATCTGGGGGGAAGGTGCCGTGGGGGGCAGGGCCTGGCCACGCCGGGGCGTGGGGATGCGGGGTGGGCGGTGGGGCTGGAGCCAGTCCCGGGAGGCTGCCAACTCGAAGACCCCTTCTGGGCTGAAGTGCTTTACGGGAGGGGAGGTCACAGCGTTTCATGGGTCTTAACTCGGACGGGGGTCGTGGGGGCCCCTGCTCTGCTGCCCTGGCTGCTGGGGCTCCCGCAGGGAGAGAGGCAGGCCCTTCGCCTCACCCCGTGGTCCGGCAACACCACAACCAGAAGCCGGGGCTGGGGGGCAGTGAGGGGGGCACTCGGTGTGTCCCACGGTGGGGGCAGCTCTTTGCCGTCTTGAGGAGAGAGTGAGTCACCTACCGTGTGCCGTGACCTCTGTGGGACGGCCCAGCCCCACTGCAGTTAGCGAGGAGGGGCCAGAGGGGAAGGGCCGACCGCCTGGGGACCCGGGCCAGTGTCGGCAGCGCGAGGACCTGGCGGCGAGCCAGCAGAGGAAGGAAGGGCCGGCTGCCGGCTGGCTGTGTGATGTTTGCAAGTGGACACTGCTATTTATACCCTGGCTGGGAGGCAGCTTCTTGCATGTGAGTGCATGAAGGCCCAGAGAGGGTGGGGGGTGGCCCGAGGCCACGTGGCATCCACAGCCAGGTGGAGAGTGGAACTTGGGTTTCCGATGCCCCAGATGGCACCTGGACCCGGATGTGGCCCTGATCCGCTCTGGTCCTGTGCCCCCCAACTTCTCACACCCACAGGGGGGCTGATAGGGGATTGTCACTCCGGCTGCCCAGCAGCAGGCCCACAGGAGCCACTCGTGACATGAGTCAGCACCGGGTCCCAGCTGCGAAGCGGGGTGTGTGGGGCTGGGGCCATCAGACCCCTCAGGCTGCAGGTCTGGGGAGCCCCCTGGCTGGGTCTGGGTCAGAGGGGAGGGTGAGCCCCAGTCCGTGTCCTCGAGTCACGGCACGCTGGAGGGAAGGAGGGAGCCCAGGGCCCGGCTGTCCCCCGACCCCCCGCTGACGCTCTGCCTGGGTGCAGCCCAGGGAGCCCAGGGCCCGGGAGCACTCGGACACGCCCCCCGGCTGCCCGGTCCCGGCTACCACGCACTTGAGCTGGTATTTGGGGTGAAGCGTTTGAGGCTGGGCTCGCGGTTGGATGGGAGGCAGCCCAGCGGGCAGACGCGGCGTAGCCTGGGCCTGGCTTCAGATCCCGGCCATCACTTTCCCCTCGTGTGACCCAGGGCAGGTGACATACTGCTCTGGGCCCTGCGTGTGCAGGGAGGTGGTGATACAGTCTTCCGCCCAGCATGTGAGGAGCAGGCCCGGCCTGGCCTGTGGTCGTCCGGGGCGTGGGGGCCACGCCCAGCGGCTGTTTGGCCCCACCCACGTTAGAGGGATCCACTTCCAGCCAGCACAGGGGTCCGGGTGACTCCAGGAGGACACCCTAGAGTCTGTCACCTGGGCTTTGTCTCCGCAGCTCTGGGAGCCGGGCGCCTGTCACTGGCCAGGGGACTTGGGAGACCACACGGAACACCCACCCACTCTGGCTCTCCCAGCTGCCACCCTCCGAGACCTCTGAGTCCTGGACTCCAGGACCGCAGGGCCTGGCCTACTCCCAGCCTGTCCCCACCCTGCCGCCAGCAGCACTGGCCTCGTTCCTGGACCCTCACCTTCTCCCAGCCTCTCCCCGTCCGGTGGTGTCTCCTCTCCCCGCTAGACCCCCCCGTGCCCTTCTCTGTGCCTCCCCTGTCCCTGCGTGCCCCCGCCACGAGTGTGTGCTCCTCCCGGCCCCCTGGGCTGCCGCCAGCTGCCCTCGGGCCTCCCAGACTGGGGAACTGGAGGGTTTGTGCCGCCCTCCCCTGCCCAGCCAGGGCCCCAAGTCCCGAAGGTCCTGCCTCCCTCTTGCTTCTGCCCAAGTCCCTGCCGCCTGAGTTGTCCCCAACCCTGACTGTCTGCCTGGCTCAATTCTCTGCAGCCGCCACTGCCCCCAGAAGGCCCCCAGACCCTCCAGTATCCTCCAGGACAGCTGGTCAGCCAGGGCACGCACGCTCCTCAGTACTGCCACAGTGGGGCTTGCCCAGGGCCCGGCACGGGCAGCAGGATGAGCCCTGGCCCCGGAGGGTGCACAGCGGGGGCAGTGGCAGAGGCAGGGACGAGCCAGGCCCTCTGTCCTCCGTGCTCCCTGCCCCGTGGTGGCGTCCGAGCTGCCTTGTCTTCGCGGCGCCACGCCAGCCGCAGTTTGTGGTGGACATAGACCGTGCCCGCTTGTGTCCGCCCGGGTCCGCCCGGTCCCCACCCTGCCAGGGAGCTCTGGCTAGCGGAGAACAGGAGTAGCGGGGGCGTGGGGGCAGGGCCAGCCCAGGGCGGGGCAGGGCGTGGGCACGGCCGCCCCTGGGCGCTCCCGGGGCAGCAGGGCCTGTCCTTCCGCAGACGGCCCTGGGTTTCTGCCCTGGTGGGGCCGGGCGCTCCCTGCGTGTCAGCTGTGATGTGATGCTCTCCAGATCCTTCTCCGCCTGGCTCCGGGGTCCGGGCTGGGGGCGGGGGCTGCCGGGACTCAGAGCAGGGCCAGTGAGGCCTTCCCAGGGAAAGGCCCTTGGGCTGCGTCTCAAGGACGAGGACAGAGGCTTCATCAGTGGCGCGGGAGGGGCGGGTGGAGCGGCAGCTTGTGCGCAGGCCTGGCGCCAGAGAGTGGGGACCGGTTCGGCCAGGTTGGAGGGCCCGGGAGGTGAGATGGGGCCCGAGGGCCTCTGCTACCGGCTAGGGGCTGGAGGGCCGGCCGGGCCGAGTGGGGAGGCTGCCGTTCTCTTACGAGTGCTCGCTCTGGCCCTGAGGCCTCCCGTGGGTCTCTCAGGCTGTGCCTTGCCCCTCCTCCCGTCCCACCCCTGCAGCCGTGGCTGGGGCTTGTGCCTGGACGACGCCCCTGCCAAGGATGTCATCGACTTCCCCGCGGTGCCGCCCGGCGTCCTCTACGACGTGAGCCACCAGTGCCGCCTGCAGTATGGGGCCTACTCCGCCTTCTGCGATGACATGGATGTGAGTGGGCACCCAGAGCGCCGAGGCTCACGGGCCTGCGGTGCCAGCCTGGGAGGAACCCGCCTGGCTGGGCGCGGCCCCCACATGGCACCTCGAGACACGGGGTGGCCTGCAGGAGAGGCCGGGTGGGCGGTCGAGACCCAGGTCTGGATTCTGGCTTTGCCAGCTGGGGCTGTGGCGAGTCCCTTCTCCTCACCGGACCTGGCTCCCAGAGGGGAAGTCCCGGCGTTGCCGGGGGGTCCCAGAGCAGGTCGCCCAAGTGACCCTAACGGGGGTCTCTCCAGAGGAGTGGGGGGCCCGGGAGAGGTGTGGGCAGCTGGGGACCACTCTGAGCTGCAGACCTGTGTCTTGGGGCCCAGCGCGGGACCCCCCACAGCCCCCACGGTCTGGAAGGAGGGGCGGGAAGTGGGAGCAGACACAGAATAAGCGGGGCCTTTGGGGGTGCTCACGTCTGCAGACCCCACCATGTCGGGGGCATCCGGCAACTCCTGGGACGGGGCGGCGGTTGGGGGGGTGGCCCTGGGGAGGGGTGAGGGTGTGGCCGTGCCCTCCCCTCACAGGACGTGTGCCACACTCTCTGGTGCTCCGTGGGGACCACCTGTCACTCCAAGCTGGACGCAGCCGTGGACGGCACCAGGTGTGGGGAGAGCAAGGTAGGGACGTCCCCAGCCCCCGCCGTGGGGGGGAGAGGCCAGACCTCCTGCTGTGTCTGTGCCTGGGTCGGGGGTCGGCTCAGCTTACGGCCTTGCCTGGGCACGCGGCAGACCCAGCTCCCTGCGGCCTGAGCCGCCTCCTACAAAACGGAGGCTCTGGGGTGGGGGCTCCACCCACGATTCCCCAGGGAGCCCCCGCCCGGAGTCTGCACGGGGCTCTACTTCCTTCCTTGCCCAGACCTCCAAGTGGCCTGGGTCATGGGGATGGTGAGGGGGGCCTCTCTCACACCTTCCATGCTTCTGCTCTGGGCTCCTCGGTCCTTCCCGCATGCCTCGTTCTCACTAGCGTGAGGGTGACTGACAGGCTTGGGATGGGGCTGCTCCACCTCCACCTGTCTTGGCAGTGGTGTCTCAACGGGGAGTGTGTGCCCGTGGGCTTCCGGCCCGAGGCCGTGGATGGTGGCTGGTCCGGCTGGAGCGCCTGGTCCACCTGCTCGCGGAGCTGCGGCGTGGGCGTGCAGAGCGCCGAGCGGCAGTGCACGCAGCCCGCGTGAGTGTGGCCGGGCGCCCGGGTGATGGGGTCGAGGGACCCAGCTGCGTGGAGCTTGCTCTGCCCCGCCCCCAGCTCTCAGAAGTGTCCGGGCCGCCTTTGGTCACTTCCCGGGCGTGTTCTGGAGGCTGACGGGTCCCACTGCAGAGAGGCGAACACTGAGGCCCAGACACCAGAGAGGCTCCGGAGGCCGCACCACAGAGCAGCTGCTGGCTGCAGGGAGGAGGAGGGGCGGCGGTTGGGAGCACAGCCCCGAGATGGATCTGGGTCCACATCCTCTCTGTGCCCCTTGGGCCGGGGCCTTGTCCACCCCTTCTCTGGGCCTCGGTTTCCTCGTCTGTGTAGTGGGGCAATAGTAGTCCCGCCTCAGGTGCGAATGCCGCTGACGCAGCCCAGGCGTCTGACCCCGCGCCCAGTGCGCAGTCAGCGCTCAGCGGGGCTGCTCAGTGGTTCGAGATGAGATTGGGGGCACCAGGAAGAACTTGGCAGCACCGAAGGGGTGGCCGTGTGGCCTGGGCCTCAGTTTCCCCATCCGAAAGGAGCGTCGTGGAGCTGTGAGAGGCAGCGGTGCTGTCGCCAAGCCCCTGCTCACGAGGCTCCCCGGGCCGGGCACGGGGTTCAGAGCCAGCGCGTCGGGGCCTGTGCTTAGCCGAGACCGTGGCCTCACCCCCTCCGCCTCCTGGCCTCCAGGTCCGCTGGGTCGGGGAGGGGCTCAGGTGCCAGCTCTGCAGACCTCGCTGCCGGGCCCCTGGGGGCTTCCTTTTGACGCAGGCTGCGGTGCTGCCACCAGGAGCCGGTCTGGGGACTCGAGGGCTCCGTAGGACGCTGGGTCTCGGGCTGGAGACACAGAGGGGCCCCTCCAGCCGTGCCAGTCACGTCCTTGCTCGTCCCAGATCTCAACATCCCCCTGCCCAGGCAACCCCAGCCCCATTCTATAGATGAGGAAACTGAGGCCCACAGGCGGCCAAAGACTTGCCCGTGGCCACGCAGAGGGTGGGCAGAGCCCAGACTTCCCACGGGTCCTGGGGAACAGGGAGAGTGTCTGGGCCCGAGGGTGGGCAGCCCAGTGGGGCAGATAGGCGCAGCCGGGTCTCTGGGAGTGAGCGGGGAGGAGGCTGCTCACCCTGGATCTGGCTTCGCTGTCCCGCTCGCCGTGCGCTCACGGCCCTGCCCGGCTCCCCGACAGGCCCAAGTACAAGGGCAAGTACTGCGTGGGCGAGCGGAGGCGCTTTCGCCTCTGCAACCCGCAGGCCTGCCCCGCCGGCCGCCCCTCCTTCCGCCACGTCCAGTGCAGCCGCTTCGACGCCATGCTCTACAAGGGCCAGCTGCACACGTGGGTGCCCGTGGTCAACGACGGTGAGTCCTGCTGCCGCTGGGGACACCGAGGCTCGGCGCGGGGGGCGAGCGGGGCTACCTGGCCCTGGCCGTCCCACCGTCCCTGCGGCCGATGCTCCCTCCAGCCTTGCGGAGCCGGACCGCCGGCACACCTGTGCTGCCTGGGCGCTCTGGCCGCCGTTGGCGTGTGTCACGGGGGGGCTTCCTGGTGGTCGCACGGCTCCCGCCCTGGCCGTCCCTGACGGCTCCTCCGCTCGGCCCACAGCGAATCCCTGCGAGCTGCACTGCCGGCCCTCCAACGAGTTCTTTGCCGAGAAGCTGCGGGACGCCGTGGTGGACGGCACCCCCTGCTACCAGGGCCGGGCCAGCCGGGACCTCTGCATCAACGGCATCTGCAAGGTGCACCTGGGCGAGGGGGTCTCCCGGCACCAGCCGCCTCTGCCCTGCCGCTTCTCCCCCGGCCCACCCTCCGCAGGCCGTACCACTGGGCTTCCCAGCCCCTGCCCGGATGGCCTCCCGGGCAAAGCGCCCACCACTGCTCCCGGCATGGAACTCTCCTCCCAGTCAGGCCCCTCACCCCGCCCTGCCCGCAGCTTCTCCCTGCGCCAGCACGGCCCCGCCAGGAAGCCGGAGCCAGGCAGGGGCTCTGCCTCGTGCAGGGCTGGCCGACCCCCGGCAGCGGTTTCCTCTGTGGCAGGCGGGTTAAATGAGGTGGCCCAGGTGGCATGCAGGGCCCTGAGCCCGCAGAGAAGTGCTCAGCATTTGGTAACAATTCCTAGTCTGGCTTCTGGTGGCCGTGGTGGCCACTGCTCCCTGCCCACGTCCCCAGCCACGCACTTGCCCCTGCTTCTTGCCGTCGAGCCACAGGCGTGGGTGTCCAGGCTGGTGCTCAGGAGGGCCAGCAGGCCTGTGCCAGCCCAGCGCGTTTGACGCCGAATCCTGTCCTGGCCAGGAGCCCGCGGCGCGCCAGCTCCCCTCCCCCACAGCCTCTCCTGTAGCTGTCCCCGTCTCTTGTCTTGTGTGTGCTCCCAGCACACTTCTGAGGCACGGCCTCCCTGTGTCGCATGTGAGGAAACTGAGGCTCAGAGAGGTATAAGAGTTCACCGGGGTCAGAGGGCACCGCTGTGGCAGGGCAGGGCCCAGAGCGAGCCCCCCGACTCCTGCTGGGAGACTCCGCTCGCCCTGGCAGGCCCCCGAGGCTGGGGCCGCAGAGGCACAGGCTCCTCCCCTCTGTTGCAGAGCGTGGGCTGCGACCTAGAGATCGACTCGGGCGCGCTGGAGGACCGCTGCGGCGTGTGCCACGGCAACGGCTCCACCTGCCACACCGTGAGCGGGACCTTCGAGGAGGCCGAGGGCCTGGGTACGGGGCCGCTGTGGGGGAGGGGTGCCCCCATCTCTCCTGAGCCCCCGCCCTGCCCCCGTGGCCCCCGCACGGCTGGAGCTGGCACGCAGGGAGGCCTTGCTTGGCTGGGATTCTTGCGGGAGTCAGGGCTGCCCTGGCCCTGTCTTCTTACGACGCCTCGGGGATCCCCAGCCCCACTCCCTGGGCCTTGCCGCAGTGCTGACTGGGTGCTAGGTGCCGGGGACGTGGAGTTGAAGACCCCATAGCCCGGCCGGGTGGCAGAACCTCCTGGTGTGCAGATGCGGTGGAGGGAGGCCCAGAGGGCTGTGAGAGCACTGAGGAAGGAGGTCTTGACCTGGGGAAGTCAGGGAAGACTTCCTGTAGGAGGTGGGAGTTGAGCTGAATCATAAAGGACCCAGAGGAGATGGGGAGGGGCGTTCCAGATGGGGGAGAAGAGCTTGTGCCAGAGCCTGGAGGCCAGAAAACAGGTGCCCTGTCTGGGACCTGTAAGGCAGGTAGGGTCGGCTGTGGGGCCTTGAATGCCAGGCCAAGAAGCTTGGGTTTCGTCCTGGAGATGCAGTGCAGTGTGGTGGCTGGAGCACAGCCCCGGGCCTGCCTCCTACCCCAGCAGGCCCTCTCTGTACCGGTGTCCTCATCTGTAGAACGGGGCTAACGACAGTACCTGCCTCACAGGGTGATCACACGCGAGCTGAGCAGGGCCGGGCACCTGGTCGGCGTTGCACGAAAGGACAGGGAGGCGAGGAGGGATCAGGAGGATGTCCTGGGAGACAGGCCCAGGCAACCTGGGTCTTCAGAAGGGCTCTGCTGGCCCTGAGTTTGGAGATGGACCCGCCTTGCGACAACAAGACCAGACGAGTGTCGGTCCCCAGGAGAGGGGTCACGGGGCAGGGGCCAGGGAGGCAGGATCGGGGGAGCCTTTGTGCGGTTTCGCTGTCCAGAGGTGGACGTGAGCATCTGCCTGTCGGGGGGCTCAGAATCTCAAGCTACAGCGGGATCTCTGGCGTCGGCAGGCAGGGCCAGGGGGTGGAGAGGGCAGGGGAGGGGGAGGCGGCCAACCCCGGGCCCCGGGCACACCCTGAGCCCACCCACGGCCAACAGGGTACGTGGACGTGGGGCTGATCCCGGCCGGCGCGCGGGAGATCCGCATCGAGGAGGTGGCCGAGGCTGCCAACTTCCTGGCCCTGCGGAGCGAGGACCCGGAGAAGTACTTCCTCAACGGGGGCTGGACCATCCAGTGGAACGGGGACTACCCCGTGGCGGGCACCACCTTCACGTACGCGCGCACCGGCAACTGGGAGAACCTCACGTCCCCGGGACCCACCAGCGAGCCTGTCTGGATCCAGGTGCCTGCCCCGCGGGCCCGGGCGGGGGCCTCTGCCTTGGTTTCCCCGTCTCTAAACGGCCCCACGGTGCAGCCCCCGTTGCCAGGGCGCTGGGGCGCGGACCCTGCTGGCAGGACTGGGGGGCAGGTGGGAAGGAAACCCGGTGCTCAGGGCCCCCCCTGCCTGCCAGCTGCTGTTCCAGGAGAGCAACCCCGGGGTGCGCTACGAGTACACCATCCACAGGGAGGCGGACGGCTACGGCCAGGCCAAGCCGCCCGAGTTCTCCTGGCACTACGGGCCCTGGACCAGGTGCACAGTCACCTGTGGCACAGGTGAGAAGAGGGGCAGGTGGCACAGCCGCGGCCAGCAGGGCCTTGGTCTCTGGGCAGGGACACTGCTTCGGCCTCCCTCTCACGGCTCATTTGCTGGGCCGCCACCGGCTTGGAACGTAGCTTCTCTGAGCCTCAGTCCCCATCTGTAAAACGGGCTGGGGTGGTCAGGGGGAACGTGAGCAGGTGCAGGGCGGCCACGTGGCGAGTGCCCACTGTCCCCGCGGCTGGCGTCCTGCCCAGGGTGGCACCAGCACCTGTCCTGTGGTCCCCATGCAGCGCCCGCAGGTCTCGCGCCTGCGTTTCTGCTCCACACGGGACGGGACGCCTGACCGTCCCCGCCGAGCCTTACTGAGGCTCCTCCAGCCCCAGGGAGGCCGGAGCCTGCGTCTCCTCCGCGGTGGCCCCGGGAGAGCCTCCCGTGGGAGGAGGGGGGGAGGAGGAGGAACACAGGCAAGGCTGTCCCCACCTGGCCTGGGACTCCGTCGGTGGCCCTCACTGCGTTGGCTCATGTCCTTGAATATTTGAGAAAAGTGTGGCAGTTTGACTGTCCTTCTCCCTCCCGCAGCGCCCATGGTCTCCCGGACCTGCGGTCCCCTCTGTCCCCCCATCAGCCCCCGTGTCCCTGGTCTCCCGCCCTCCCTGATCGCTGCCCTGTCCCTGGGTCTCCCCCGCTGCTGACAAAAGCAAGCTTGCCCACTGGAACTTAGCAGAAACCTTCAGCAGCTGTTAAACCAGTTCATCCTGTACAAGTGTCTTTAAATTCACAAACGTCAAACTGGCAACTTTGTTGGACCCGCTAGACTTTCGAGGGATCGTCCCTCAGCAGGTTGCTGGGTGGGTGGAGCAGCTGGGACTGTGCTCAGAGGCAGGTACCAGAGTCCTGCCCCGGGGCGGCGGGAACAGATGACAGGCAGTAGGTCTCCCTGTGCCGTCCAGGCTGGGGGACAGGCCCCTCACCCTCAGCTGCCGTTCCCGCCCTCCCTGCTGCTGGGCGACCCCCCACCCCGCCCCAGCCTCTTGCCATGTTCCAGGCAGGAGCAAGGAGAAGGGACAGGGCCGACCCCCGCGAAGGGACTTGTCTGTCTGTGTCGCAGACCCCGCCTGGCTGCGCGGGAGCCGCGGGGGGCGTGTTGCCCTGAGCAAAGTCAGGCTCTGCTGGCGAGGAGGGTGGGGCGGGGGTGTGGGGCGGCGAGCTCAGGGGGCCACGCAGGGAGCAGAGGTGAAGGCGGCGCCCGCCGGCCGTGGTCCTGCCGCCTGGCCTCACCGGCACGTGGAAGTGTCTGAGGCGAGGGGCGGCCCTGGCGGCCGGAACAGCGACAGGGCTGGTGCTGGGGGAGGGGAACGCCCAGCCGGGCGGCGAGTTTCTTCTCCCGACTGTCCGTGAGCCTGTCGGGAGGCCGTGGGCAGCGGGCGCGGCCTTGGTGCTGAGGTTTGCGTGCAGTGTTCACGCCACGGGTCGAGGCCGTGTTACTGTTGGTCCCGTTTCACAGATGAGGACACTGAGGCTCAGAGAGGCCGTACGAGCTGCACAGGCCTCAGCGGGGAAGCAGCGGGGCTGGCCCTCAGCTCGCTGACCCTCCACACCCCGCTGCGCCGCAGGGGAGGGTTACTGCAGGGTGGGCGGAGGGCTGGGAGGATGGGGAGGAGGAGGGGGAGGCGGGCCTTGATCTGGCCTAGGCGCCAGGCCCGTTCTGGAGAGTTCTGGGAAGAGAGGGCGCCGGGCCCCGTCTGAGCCCCGTGTCTCCAGGCGTGCAGAGGCAGAGCGTGTTCTGTGCGGAGCGGCAGGCGGGGCCCGTGGACGAGGGTCACTGCGACGCCCTGGGCCGGCCCGACGACCACCAGCGCACGTGCAGCGAGGAGCCCTGCCCTGCCAGGTGGGCCCACCCTGACCACGGCCCACCCGGCCCCGACTCCCAGGCATCCCGGGTCTGCCGCGGCCCCCGGAGGAGCCGGGGAGCCGGCTTTGGCCTCCGTGCCCAGGGCAGAGTCCCCAGCCCTGGCTGCCGTCCCCCCAGCCTGGGCCTCGAGTGCCCCGGGCAGCGGCACCAGGCGGGACACCTCTGGTCACTGCTCTCTGGGTCCCCGGATGTGGAAATGGGGCTCGGCAGATCCGTGTCTTGCCAGGTGCCTTGGGGTGAGGGAGGCAGGGTGGGGGGCCGTGCCGCGTCGCCGGGCTTCGGGGGCAGGACCCCGACCTGGGCTTGGGCTCGGTCCTGGCTCTGCCTGAACCCGGAGGGCTGGGACCCTGGCCTGGCCCCTGCTGTGGGCCCATCCGCGCCACCGTCTGATGCCACACGTGTGGCCCTTGCCAGGTGGTGGGCAGGTGAGTGGCAGCCGTGCTCCCGCTCCTGCGGGCCGAAGGGCGTCTCCCGCCGGGCCGTGCTCTGCATCCGCAGCGTGGGGCTGGACGAGCAGAGCGCCCTGGGGCCGCCCGCCTGCGAGCACCTTCCCCGGCCCCCCGCCGAAACCCCCTGCAACCGCCACGTGCCCTGTCCAGCCACCTGGGCTGTGGGGAACTGGTCTCAGGTGAGCGTGGGGGTGAGAGGGGCGGGCACCCGGCTCCACCGTGGCCCGGGCTGCAGCAGGCGGCCTCTGCGGGGTCCTTGCTGCCGGGTCCTGGGTGGGAGGGAGCCTGGGGCGTTCCAGAATCCTGCCCCCGACCCCAAAGCCTCTGGGATCAGGAGGCTGCTGGCAAGCTGGGGCCTTGAGTCGGGCGGGGCGGAGCCTCTGCATGCTGACGTGGCTGCGGGCAGGTCGCCGGCCGGGCCTCACGTCCCCTGGCCTGAGCCCGCACCCTGCCCTCCGCGCAGTGCTCGGCGACATGCGGGGCAGGCGCTCAGCGCCGGAGCGTCCTCTGCACCAACGATACCGGCGTGCCCTGCGACGAGGCCCAGCGGCCACCAAGCACGGCCACCTGCCCTCTGCCCCCCTGCCCGCGGCCCCCCGGCACGCTGGGCCCTGAGGGCTCGGGCAGCGGCTCCTCCAGCCACGAGCTCTTCAACGAGGTCGACTTCGTCCCCCGCCACCTGGCCCCGCGCCCTGCGCCCCCCGAGCCAGACGGCATGGGCAACGCCATCGACGAGGAGGACCTGGACCTGGGCCCGCCGGGGCCCGTGTTTGTCGACGACTTCTACTACGACTACAACTTCATTAACTTCCACGAGGACCTGTCCTACGACCCCTTCGCGGAGCCCGATCCCGTCCTGGCAGGAACAGGGCCTTGGGCGCCCCCACCCCGGAGCAGTCCCTTGGAGCCCCCCGCGGAGCCCCCCAGGCCGGCCACACGGCCCCCTGCGGCTGGGGAGGAAGAAGTGGCGGCATCCAGCTCCCCCGGCCCCTGGCCCAGCCAGGCTGGCCCCGCCCCGCCCCCACCCTCGGAGCAGACCCCCGGGACCCCCTTGGCCAACTTCTTGTCTGAGGAAAGTGTCCCCATGGGGGCCCCGGGCCCCGGACTCCCCAGCCTGCCCTGGCCGCTGACTTCGGTCCACGGCGCGCACCCGCCTGCTGCCCCCGGGAGCCCAGACGAGCCCCCGGAGCGGGAGGACAGCCAGGGCCGGCCGCCCGCTCTGCAGCAGGACAGGACCAATGAGATTTCCCAGGACGATGAGGAGCCCGTGGGCCGCGGAGCCCACCCCCTGCCCCAGAGGCCCAGCCCCACGCGGCCCCCTTTGCGCAGCGCGGGCCCCGCCCCCTCCTCTCCTGGCCCTGCCGTGCTGGAGCCGTGGACGGGCGGCACCGTGGCCTGGGGGCCGGCTCCAGAGGGTGGCGCGGCCCCTCTGCCCCTTCCCCCCACAGCTGCTCTGCCGGAGATGGAGGGTGCGGACGGCCCCCTGCAGCCGGGCACCCCCACCGCTCCGCCCTCAGGCCTGGGCTCGGGGGACCCGCAGACTCCGGCGACACCGGGGCCCTTCCTTTGGACTGGCCCAGGGCAGGTGTCCTGGGCGACTACCCTGAGCCCGGGACCCTCGGGCCAGCCCGAGTCCCCCAGGCCCGAGGCCACACCAGCCCGGGAGAGCCCCACCCACAGCAGCGGAGCTGCCGGGGCCCAGCCCCTGGCCCCCAGCCTGGCCGAGGAGGGGGCCCCTGTGGACCTGCCGGCCGCCGGGAATGCCAGCTGGCAAGTGGGGGACTGGAGCGAGGCAAGTGGTGCCACCAGGGGGGCTGGGAGCTTCTGCAGGACCCTGGTGACTCAGTTTCCTCATCTGAAAATGTGCGGAGCAGGACGCAGGCCCTGTGCATCCTGCCTCCCAGGGCTAGAACTGGCCGCCGCGGCGGGTGGAGGCCCCGTGAGGGGGGAGCATCGCCCCAGCTCAGTCACACTGCCGTCTGGGGGACCCTGGGCCAGTCTGCCCATCAGGCCTCAGTTTCCCTTCTGAGTAGTGGGGGTGTGGTGCAGGGGCCACTCCTGGGCAGCTCAGGGGCTCCAGGAATGGCAGGGCAGTCACACGGGAGGGCCAGCTGGGGGACGTCCTCCCCACTGTGGCCCACACGCCCAGGACGGGCTCCCCTCAGACAGGCCGCAGTGGGCATGGCGCACCAGCCGCCAGGCCGCCCAGCTCAGCTCAGCTTCGTCCACATGCAGGGGTCTGTCGGGCCTGTGCCCCCCTGGGTCCCCAGAGTGTCTCTGGGAGAAGCCAGCTCCTCCCGTTCACGTCCCAGTTTGGGGGTGGGTGGGGCAGGCTGAGCCCCCGGGTGGGTTTTGCCTGGGGTCCCCCAGCAATCCGCTGCTGGGACTCAAACCCAGACTGCTTCCCCAGTGTCAGGACAGCTGGGTGGGGGCCGCAGGGCCCCCCGTATCCCCCTGAGCAGAGGCCGCTGGTTGCTGGGGAGTTTGATTTCTCGTTCTCGGCGTCCTTGCGAGGTGGGCGGAGGAGTCTGTCTCGCAGATAAGGGCACCGAGGCCGGGAAGGGGCCCTGGCTTGGCCAGGGGCGGGTGGGCTGGGGGCACCTGCGCGGCCTCACCGCCTCTGCCCCCGCAGTGCTCCACCACCTGCGGCCTGGGCGCCGTCTGGAGGCCGGTGCGCTGCAGCTCGGGCCGCGATGAGGACTGCGCTCCCGCCGGCCGGCCCCAGCCCGCCCGCCGCTGCCACCTGCGGCCCTGTGCGGCCTGGCACTCGGGTAACTGGAGCAAGGTGCGCGGAGACCTGTGCTCGGCGGGGCCGGGCGGGGAAGGGCTCGGAGACTTTGCGCTTGAGTGCGCGGGACCCCTGGTCTCTTGGGGATCTCCGTCTGCGTCTGGCGCCGCTGCCCCCTCCTCCCTGTGCTCTGGCGGCCTCTGGAGTCCTCCCCCGCTGTCCTTCACTCCTCTTCCTCCACATGGCCCATCCACCGCCCCCTGGGGCTGTTCAGGGGTTTGCCCTGGGTGGCAGTGGGGGGTGTCGGATGCGTGCGCCTCCCAGGCCGCGTGCGTGACGTGCACACGGGGGTCCCCGGTCCCCAGTGCTCCCGCAGCTGCGGCGGAGGCTCCTCGGTGCGGGACGTGCAGTGCGTGGACACCCGGGACCTGCGCCCCCTGCGGCCCTTCCACTGCCGGCCCGGGCCCGCCAAGCCCCCCAGCCGCCGGCCCTGCGGGGCCCAGCTGTGCCTCAGCTGGTACATCTCTTCCTGGCGGGAGGTGAGCCGGGTCTGGGACGGGGTGGGGACGCCTCAGACCCGGCCGCGCCCTGACCCGCCTTCCCCCCAGTGCTCCGAGGCCTGCGGCGGCGGCGAGCAGCAGCGTCTGGTGACCTGCCCGGAGCCGGGCCTGTGCGAGGAGGCGCTGAGGCCCAACAGCACGCGGCCCTGCAACACCCAGCCCTGCACGCGGTGGGCGGTGGGGCCCTGGGGCCAGGTGAGCCGGGCTGCAGGGCGGGGCCGGGACAGGTGTCCAGGGACACCCAGCCAGTCCCGCGGAAGAAGGAATTGCTGAGGGTGACCGTGCGCCGGGCTCTCTGGGGCCACTGTGGGTGTCGCGGCGACCAGACGGGTCCCTCCCTGCTGGCGCTACGGCCTGCCGGAGGGAATGTGCTGCGATGTCACGGAGGACGGCGGAGGAGGGGACTGGGGTGAGACCGGAGGGAGGACGCAGGGATGACCAGGACAGGGACGGAGGGGACAGCAAGGGCAGAGCGCGCAGAAGCGGGTGGAGGGGCTTCGGGTGGGCAGGACACCTTCCTGCCAGGCCCGTTGGAGCCGAGAGGTTCAGGAACCTTGACCTGGGCCCTGAGCCGGGCCTGCCTTCCAGTCCTTGTCCCTCGGCTGCGAGTGACGCGGGGCAGGGTGCTTTGCCTCGCTGGGCCACTGTTTTCTCATCTGTAAAATGGGGACAGGTGGGGAGGGTTCGACAAAGTGCAGGGCCCGGCACAATGCTGGCAGATTAAACTTATTTTTAGGGCTTTTAAAAAACATCAGACCCCCAGCTGGTAAGAACAGAAATTGCCTACCCCGTCCGCGGCCGTGGGCTGTGGCAGGTCCTCCGCCCTGTCCCTTGGGGTCCCGTCCAGGGCGCCTGTGCAGGCCTCCCGGGCATGTGCTGTGTGAGGGGCTCGTGGCCCCGAGGCCTGAGGGCCGTCCCCCTTCTCACGCCCATGACAGTGGGGTCTGAGCACCATGGGGGCCCTGCGGGGGACCAGGGTGGGCGGGAGGCTGGTCGGGCGCGGGGCAGCTTCCCAGGGGGGGGCCCTGCCCGGGACGCCGGTTCTGTGCACGGGCCAGTGCGCTGGGACACTCCCTCCTGCCCGCTCTGCGCAGTGCTCGGCCCCCTGCGGCGGCGGCGTCCAGCGGCGCCTGGTCAAGTGCATCAACACCCAGACGGGGCTGCCCGAGGAGGACAGCGGCCAGTGTGGCCACGAGGCCTGGCCCGAGAGCTCCCGGCCGTGTGGCTCCGAGGACTGTGAGCTCGTGGAGCCCCCACGTGAGTGCCCGGTCCTGGGGGGCGGGGGCCGGAGGGGAACTGGGGAGTTGTCAGCGCCCCGTGGCACCGTCTGGCTCCACGTGTGGTCAGCTCAGCCACGTGGCCACTGCTGAGGCCACAGGCCACACAGAAGCTGGGGTTGTGTGGGATTCGGCCAAGCGGAGTCCCGGCCTCCCAGGCGTCCTGTGGGCAGCTGCCTCCGGCCTCACGGAAGTGGAGGACGGGCCTCGGCCCTGGTGGCTGTGACCCTGGCGAGCTGCTTCCTTCCGGGCTCAGCGGGACGTCCCGAGGCTGTGTGGAGGCCGGGCCTGGATGGGACCCACCCCAGCGTGTCCCTTCCCTGGCCAGAGTGAACAATGGACTGCAGGAAGGGGGCTCCCTCCCGGGTCCTGCTAGCTCCCAGCTGCCGGTGGCTTCCTGGCCAGCTGGGTCCTCCCGGCAGAAGGGCCCCAGCCAGAGGTGGCTGTGGACGCCCCCACCCCCACGCTTCCTTCCTGCAGCCCAGCTGCCCCAGGCGTGCCGCGCAAGGACACGTGGCCACGGGCCACACCTGGGCTCCCTCCCCCCTGCGTGGCCTTGGCTCCTCTCCCTCTCGCGCCCTCCCTTCCTCGCGCAGCGCCCGTCCTCACAGAAGGCAGGTCTGGGTGCGCAGGGCCCAGCGCCGCACGGGCGGCAGGGAAGGTGGCATCTCCCCTCCCCCATAGTCACCCTTGTCCCTCGTGGCATGGGCAGCCCCGCCAGTCTGGTCACCCGGAGGCTCAGCCCTGTGCGCGTGGAGAGCCGCGGCTCCCGTGCCTGTGGGCTGTCTGGCCCGATGTGGCACAGAGTCCACGGCCGGCAAGCTGGCGCCTGGCGCCCCGGGGATCTGCCCCATCCGCCTTCTCCCCTTGCCCACAGCCTCTCTCCCCGTGCCAGGCCTGGCATGGCCCCCACCTCACGGCCCGTTACCTCGAGGCCTGGTGGAAATGCCCGCCCGCCCCTGCCGCCCTCAGCACGCTCCCCGCGCAGCCCAGGTGGGCGCTGGCGCCACTGAGCTTGCTTCAGGGCCGAGGGGCCACAGGAGTTGGGCAGCTGTGGCGGGGGCAGGGCCTGAGACCCCCCAGGGCCAAGAACAAAGGACAGGCCTGGCCGGGAGGCCCTGGGCTCCCCGGGGTGGGGCGGTGTCGGCTGCAGGGAGGGTTGCGGGTGGTTACGCAGAACTATGAGCTGTGCCGGGATTTCTGCCACCGGCCAATGGGCAGGGCCAGCCGGGGAGGGATCTTGGACCCTGAGACCCTGGAATTCCCAGGATGCTCAATGGTCTGTGGGGCTGCGCGGGACACGGGGACAGCCGGGGAACTCCAGGGTGTGTGGTCACCGCTGCGGGCGGCCGACACAGCACAGCCACGTCCGCTTGCCCCGGCCTGCGGGGTCCTGACAGGAGGGAGCTGAGGCCGGAGGTTAAGCAGCTTGTCCGAGGACGGAGGTGCCGTCTGGCACTGCCACCCAGAGCGGGGCGGAGCAGCCACGCGCCCTCCGCAGGCCTAGGGGAGGTCCCAGGACGATGGCTGCATCGCTCCTGTTCTCCCCCGGGAGGTCTGCTGGGGTGCGCGAGGCCTGGGCAGCAGCTGGGCGCCGTCGGCAGCGGCTGCAGCACTGGGAGCGAGGCCAGGAGCCGGCAGCCACTGCCCAGAATAGCCACGCGTGGGGGCCAGGCAGGCCCGGGCTCAGTCCCTGCTCCCACGGCTGGGACAAGGCTACTCTCTGGGCACACCGCCCGGCTGCGAAGTGGTCCTGGCAGGTGGGCCCCTACCCTGGACTCTGTTCTGGTCTGTGACCAACTACAGCCTGCAGAGGCCGGGCAGGACAGGTGTGCCGGAGTGATGCAGGTGGTGGGGGCTGGCAGGACAGGTGCGCCGGAGCAGACGCAGGTGGCAGGGGCAGTGGGGGCTGATAGGACAGGTGTGCCGGAGCAGACGCAGGTGGCGGGGGCAGTGGGGGCTGATAGGACAGGTGCGCCGGAGCAGACGCAGGTGGCAGGGGCGGTGGGGGCTGGCAGGCCGGCACTCCCGGACAGGCTTCCTGGCTTCCCTGGGCGTGCAGGGTGGTCAGGGGTGGGGTCTCGGGGCCTTTTATCTGGAAGCCTGAGCCCAGCAGTGCCATTCTCTGGAGTCCTGGGGGTCGGCCAGGGGCAGGTGGGACAGGGCTGCAACTCCAGGCTGGGGACAGCCCCCCCAGCAGCTGAGGGGCCCCCTGCCCTCGGGGGCTGCTGAGGCCTCCCTGAGGCTGTGGGGAGCTGGGTCCTGGTGCCCCTGATCCCGCCCCTGCCCTGCTCCAGGCTGCGAGCGTGACCGCCTGTCCTTCCGGTTCTGCGAGACGCTGCGCCTCCTGGGCCGCTGCCAGCTGCCCACCGTCCGCGCCCAGTGCTGCCGCTCGTGCCCCCCGCCTGGCCACGGCGCCCCCTCCCGAGGCCGCCAGCGGATCGCCCGTCGCTGACCGAGCCCCCGACCCGTGCTGGGTGCAGACTGACTGACCGACCACACAGACCTCAGCGCCTGCCACGGGCTAGGTGGAGCCCTGCGCCCTCATGGTGCTAACCCCTCCCGTCCCCTAAGAAAGCGTATTTTTTTATTCTGACAGTTTGTATAACGTTTGTTATTATTTTACATAAATGAGCATCTACCATTCCAAAGCACAGCTTGGCTTCATCGTGGATTTGGGGAATCTCAAGCCAGAGCCTCCCCCAACCCCTCTGCCTGAAACGCCGCTGTCCCAGCGCCGCGGCAGACGCAGCCTTTGCTGTTCTGGGGCAGGTCGGCCGGGGAGACGGCAGCAAAGCAACCCATGGGAGGACGGCGCCCGTGGGAGGATGGCGCCCGTGCGGGCACGTTGGGCCTCAGAGGCCGGGGGTGGGCGGCTTCCCGGGGGGGCCTGTGCAGAGGGTCGGACGACGGGCAGGGCGTGGTCCCTGCACAGGCTCCTGCCACCCCGGCTTGCTTTGTGCCTCCTGCCAGGCCCCCAGCCCTGCCCTCGGCCCCCACTCTGAGGTCCTCAGAGACCTGTGTCACAGGGACTGAGCCACACGCACCCCCAAGCCATCCTGTCACCCACAGGAACTGCCCCCTAGAGAGATGGGGTCCCCGTGGGCCCCCCGGCCCTCTGCTGTGCAACTCCTCTGCTCCACGTGGGTGGGGGGAGCGGCAGGTGGCTGCTGTGTCCTCTCGTCATCCCTCCCCCTGTGCCCAGAGATGGAGCTGGGCCGGGTGCAGTGACTCGGGGTGGCCTGTCCCCCTGCCAGCCCCAGCTCCTGCCGCGCTGCCTGTGGTCCAGCCCAGGGGCACCTGCCCACCCACAACCCTTTCCTGCCCGTACAAGCGAGTCCCACGAGGCCAGTCGGCGGCCCACACACCAAGGGCAGGTGACATGAAGGTGCTTTGAGGAGGGACCGGCAAGGGGTGCGTCTGCTCCCCCAGGCCCAGCCGTGTACCCGCTGGCTGGGCCGTGGACGCAGCCCCTTCATGCCCTTTCCTGAGCCATCCGCCTGGAAGGTGCCCGTTTATTCCGCCTCTCCAAGAGAGGGACACTGAGGTTCAGAGAGGCCCCCTGCACACCTCTCACATTCTGTTCTCCAGCGCAGGACATCCCCAGGTGGAAACATGAGGGGCCCCAGAGCCGAGCACGCGGCAGTACGTGGCCACACAGGGCTGGGGTGTGCGCTGGGGGCTGGGGTGGGCGGACACTGAAAACCACTCTTCCGGATCGAGGCCAAGAAGCAGCATCAGAAGCTGAACCCGTCAGAGGCATCTGTCCCAGGACTTGGAAGAGATAGGGGGACTGTGGGTGCAGGGTGGCCGCCCAGCGGCGTCGAGGGGTGCTGGCTCACACCTCACCGAGCATCGACGCGCCCATTTCCGGATGAGAAGCCCAAGGCTCTGGGAGGAAAGTCACTGGCCCAAGGGAGACGGAGGCCCGGTCCAGGCGAAAGCCCCGTCTCCTGTTCTGAGCTCCGGCCGCCCTTGGGAGCTGACCGCGTTGAGGACGAGGCCTGCAGCAGGCCCACGGTGGCTCTGTGCGGGGGGCAGCCCGTCGGAGGCCACATGGAAGCGAGTCACCGGGGCTTGCGTGAGTCCAGGCACCAGCACGCCGTCTGCTTCCTGTCTGTGTTGGCGGCAGCCGCCGGCCCAAGCAGGCCCTGGGGACCCACGCTGAGTAACCGCTTCCCAGGCCGTAGTCAAACTGGCCTCGGTGGCAACCCCTGCGAGGGATGGGGCAGGGCCTGTCACATGCTCCTGACGCACACTGGCACGGTGGCAGAGCCCTGGGGTCCCTGTCCCAGCACTGCCACTGCCATCGTGCTGTGTGACCTTGGGAAGCCCTAGCCTCGCTGCCCCCCGAGGACAGAGCTTACAGGTCCTGGCCTGTCCTGTCCAGGAATCCTGGCTGGAGCTGTCCCCCCACCCTCCGCGGGAGGACATTTGCTCTTAATCATCCTGTGTTTTTTCCAGGGATGGCTGGGGGTGTCCCCAGTGGCAGCTGGGCCTGAGCTGTCAGCCCAGGCAGGAGACAAACAAGCCCATGACTCAGGCAGGGCACGGCTGGCGGGAGGAGGGTGCTTTCCCCAGCTGGGGGGCTTCTCCGGACTCGGGAATCTCTGGCTCCTGGCTCTGCCCCCTCAGTGTCCCCAGCCCTCACCTGCGACTTGGCCACGGCCTCCCAGGGCTACCACTGCTGACAAAACGTCCTGTGCCCCCTGCCCCAGAGTGCACCCGGGACAGGGACCCCCGAAACGGCAGGCTGGAGGTCAGAGAGCACCCCATGCGCCCTGCCCCCGCCCCAGGCCCTCGGGCGTGCCCGGTCACGGTGACGGCGACCACAATGGCATTTCCAGGCAGAACATTATACAAATTAGTAGTTTATTTCTTCCTGTAGTATTACAATTCCAGAGTTTATATTCCAAAAATAGACTAGAAGATCGGCGTAGAAGCTGCTGTGGTACAGGACGGAGTCACTTGGCAGCCCCCCTCCAAGTCCTCCAGTGGCCCAGCAGGGGCAGGACGCTCACGGACACCTGGCCCGCGTCCGGCCTCCACCTGCAAGGACGTCCCGGGCAGGCCCAGCTGCCCAGAAGCTCGGGGACGCACAGGAAGACGGCACCACAAAGCAGGGTGGGGGGGTTTGTGCAACGACACGAACGTTCGGTTAAACCCCAGCCGGGCGTGTGTCTAGAACGCTCCCTACGTCCACACGATGTCGCTGACACCAGGGCGTCTCCAGCCGTCCTCTCGGCTGCCATCGCACGGCGGTTGGCGCGACCACAGGTGCGCCCGGGCCACCTGGGCGGAAGCGGGTCACCACGCGTGAGCCAGGGACGGCCGCGGCTGGAGGGAAAGCGGGCAGGGAAGGGAGGAGCACTCCAGGGATGGCATAAATACCCAGAAGTCACACAAAATCAGAACTTGCTATATAAAATAGATGCGGAATCTAGAAAAACCTTGATAAAATAGCCTATAAAAATATAAACTGTAGTGAAAATACACAAAAGCATTAACAGAGGCTCAACCCACGAAAACCCCATCAGTCTAAACGCTGGCACCTCCCCCCGGACTGACGAGGAGCTGCCCCGGCCCCGGCCCCGCCCTTGGCGAGCAGGCTGGCGCGGCGCGGAGGTGCAGTGCAGCACAGGCCGTGGCTGGCAGGGGGCCTCGGGCACCGGAGGGGACAGAGCAGCTCTTCCCACAGGGGCACGAGGGAGGCAAGTGCTGGCTGGAAACGGTGGGGCCCACAGTTCCGTCTGGTCCCCAGAGGGGAACCGGGCCGAGCGCCACCCCCACGCTCCGGGACGGGGCAGACGCAGTGTCAAAGGAGGACCCCCAAGAAAGAGCCCAGTCCATTCCTCCAGGACTGCCCCTGCTCGCGTGCGCCCCCTGCCCAGCCACGGCTGACACCTGCCTGCAAATACGCACGGGCGGCCTCCAGCCAGGTGCACCTTCCGGGGCGAACCAGACCGAATGAGCCCATCCCTGCGGGCAGCACCTGAGCCCCAGGACACGGCAGGGTGGGCCGGCACATTCCAGGGGCACATCCACAGGGAAACTAAGACCGGGCGGTGGGAGCTGACCCGCGGCCCAGCCCCGTTCCCGCCGCACCCGAGGCTGACGGCCGTGTGGCCACGCGGGGAACGGGCAGGGTCTCTCCACCTCGTCTACAGGGCAACTTCCTCAAGAAGGTGGGCCTCAAACAGCCGCTCCCCAAAACAAAAACAATGACAAAACACATTTTTAATACCTGGAAAGAGAAAAAGGCTTTTGGCTAAACATAGAGACCAGCTCCCTCCGTGCAGTGAAAAATTAACAACTTCACTGAAGACAGAAAAGCGGAGCTCGGTCTAGGACGCGGGAACACCACGTAGCTGCGGCACCGCCGGGAAGCTGACGGCAGGAGAGTCACAGGAAACCACGCTGAGGGAGAAGGCACTTGCTAAGGCTGCACTGCCTCGGTTCTTGGTCTGCGTGCGTCTGCACCGACTAAGGATCGTTTCCAGTCTCTCCAGGTGGTGTGAAACATCCCACGGAGGCCTGTTTCTCTGGCGCTGAATGACACTGGCCAGAGACGTCTTTCACGTCTACACGTCAGGGACGGTCCCAAGATGACGTGCAGACAGCCTCCTTGCTCAAAGCTTCTCTCCAGGCTTCGAAAAGGCAGTTCCCAGACACTGCTGGGGCAGCTGGACGTGCCAGAGGCAGCAGTGACCCCCGTCCTGGCGAGGACAAGGACGCTTCCAGGCAGCGGTGGCAGCGGCCACACCCGGGAGGCTCACCCAGACCTCGGCCCCAAGCAAAGGTGTTTCCCAGCCCTGGGACTGGCAGCGGCTCCTGCAGGACCCAGGAGCACGGGCCACCCCCGAGGAAGCCCAGGTCTTGGGCGTCCGAGAGCGTCCGCTCGCAGCTGCACCCCTGCCTGCGAAGCACCCAGAAAAAGCTCCTCCGTCCCCTCAGCCAAGGCCAGCCTGGGGGGCCGGGTGGGTTGCCGGTTGTTCCCCGTTTTCTTGGGATTCCGTTGCCTTCTTTCCTTGGGGGTTGCTTTCGGCAGTTCACTTTTTTTCCCCGGACCTTGGGGGGGCGGCGCCGGGCCCCGGGGGGCAGGGGCGGAGCCCGGCGGTCGGCAGACACAGGCTGGCAGCGACAAGGGGGGGTTGGGCAGCCGGGCCCTCCCCAAGCAGGCTGGGAGCCACTGCTGGAAGCACTGTGTGTGGAAGGCAAAGGCCATTCCAGAGAGACTCAGAGAGGCGGGGGGACTGGCAGCTGGACGCCACCAGCGGAAGGTTCATGGGCACCCTGTGGTGGCCACTTTGGACGCGGGACGTGCTCGCTTCTCTAAGCAAGTCCCCTTCCCACAGCGCCCGTGAGCCACCTGCCGCAGCCGCTCTTTGGCCTACGGCGTCTGAGGCGCAGTGAGCATCCTCTGTGGTGCTGCTGTTTGAAAAACACACCCGCTGCCCACGTGTGCAGGAGAAAGAGCACGGGGAGATGCCCGCAAAGCAAGGTTTTCAGAGGATGACACATCCGTGCGCCCGACGGAGGCCGTGAGCAGACTCTCGCCTGCAGACGGCCGACCGGCAGCCTGGCAGCTCGCCCGTCAG